AACGTCAAACAGTTCAAAGATTTGAAGCAGATAGATAAACTTTCAAACGTTCATGTGTTGAAAAAACCCAATATCCCAGAGCTGTAAAACAGCATTAAAATGTGAGAAAACAGGCTTACTACTACTTTCTTATTGTGGACCAGCCAAGTGTAGAACAAATATGTATACAACAGCTACCTCAGGACAGAAGTTTCTAAACTGTTTGTAAAAATCTCAGCATGGGTGAGATAGATGTGCAGCTGGTTTGAGGGGCAAGTATGGGCTAGCGAGTGACTAACTCAGAAGAACGTATCCTGATAACTTACACTCTTGTGACACAAGTTGGCCCAGCTCTTTTCGTGGAGATTGAAAATTCACAGGTCTGTTTCCCAATCTTTCTAATTATCCCCATGGACAGTTTTTTTTTCTGCAGAGCAAGCCTATCATTTGCTTAAATTTCTTTATTTTGGTAGGAAGGATTCCAGGAGTTATAGTCTTCCACATATAAGTTTTTTTTTTCCTTTGTAAAGAAGAAACAGGAAATAAATACATTTATAACCACGGTAACCATAACATGGAGGACCACGCTGTGAATTGTCATCATGGTTTCAAAAAGCAGGCTATAAAACAACTTAAGATGATAAAAGACCTTCTGGCTGCAAAATTTCAGTTCTTGATGCTGAGTCAGTTGCTACCCTCTTGTAAAGAGAAGGACTGGATACATTACTATTACTTATATTGTTAAAGCAAGAGTCCCATCCACAGATCAAAACCATACAAAGCTAGATGCTGTACCAACCGTAGGATGTGTCCAACACCTCCAGTAGTCCTTCCTTATGCAAATAACCTGAATTATTAATTAACTCTTTTCAGGTCTTTGAAAAATGAAAACTCTGTAATCATGTAAGGAGCCCTCTTCAGGGACTGAATTTTATTAACCCTTGTCTTTGTTGCAGGTTAGACTCATTCTATGAGACATCCCATTTATTACTTTCAGTTATTGCAATCAGATAGCAAAGGGTTGAAAAAACTCTTTCTAAGGGAAAATTTCTAAATTCTAGCGAAGAGGTTGTTGAGCTTGAAGGCATTTGAGCTGGATTAGCTTTCCACAGAAAGACTGGAACATCTTCTCCTGGAAGAATTATTGCAGATAGGTTGAGCCAAAGGCTTGACAGATATGGTGTCATGGTGGTCCCTTTATGACCAAATCCACCCTTTATGTTGCTTTCTATGGTCATTAGTCTACGTGAAGAATTGATTCAGCTCAGGAGGATTCTCAAAGTCCTTAAAAAAAGTGATGTTCACCACCAAAGGAAGCCTGGGTTCAATTAACACAATATAAACTAAAATTTAAATACAATGCTTCAAATTTCTTTGCATCTTCTTAGATATTTGTGTGTTTCTGATTCTGACTGAGAGGTTTTAATAAAGTCACTCCAAAAATTATGCCTCTATATCTTCTGAAATACTTTTCTATGCACTCATTTTTTCAATTGTCACTGGATTTTGAGTAAGGGGAGCTGACAGTGTTTTAGATGATAAATGAATAATGGGGAAATCATTACTTTGGGCTTTTCTCATGATTTAAAGGGACCATGATGAAGGAATCTGATTGTTCAATTATAAACACCTGTTTCATGTTTATTCACATTTTCCTATTAGGAAGAGTGGAATCATGCTTTTTCTCTTTATTCCCTCTCTGAAGAAGTAAAATGACCTCCTCTTTCTTTCCGGGCGTGAGTAAGATGTGCTCCCTGCAAACTCTTCTATAAAGGCTAAAAGATTAAAATATCATTTAGATATCAATGACATCAGGTCACTGAGAGAGACAAGCTTCTGACAAGGATTTACTTTTCATTAGAAAGATCTTCATGAGCTATTGTAGAAGAGTCTTGATCCCAAACAGTGTATTTTATGTAATATCCTGCCTTGTGGGAACTAGCTGGTGACTTCTCTGACCTCAAAAGTTCAGAGGGCTGAGGGAGCTTCAATCAGGCTTGCTTTTCTTGCAATCTTCAGGATTGTTTCTACCATCAGTATTAGCTTATGAGCTCTTTAGAACATAGAAGATTACTCTTTTTGTTGTTGTAATTGGTTATTCTTGTGGCCTCGGACATTTTTGCTGAAGCTTTTCTCCGATAGTACTGCCAATAGCACTTTAAGTCTCCATCATTAAGAAAAATGGGCAGTGAACCTGGTACCACCATTACCTGGTTTGCATCCTGAAGTCCTAAGGCCCATGGAGGAGAATTCTCACATTAAGCTAACCATCTTTTACGTTTATATACTCTGAAAATCCAGAAACGAGTCTGCCAGGCATGCATTCAGACCACTACAAACCAAAGGTGATAATTTGCCCTCGGATATCCCCTTGCCCATTGCTTTCAGGAATAAGCTAATTCATGTGTACCTGAGGACCAGATATGGTCCATATCTGGTCCATAAGGACCACATATGAACCTTGACTTCCCTAAAGGACACTGATAGGCTGAAAAAAATTAATTCGCCATCTGCTGAGCAAAGAGAGAAGCAGCATACCAGCTGCTATACAAGTCAGATGCTTTACACCTTGTCTTCTGCTAATGTCCAGGAGAGTTCTGAGGTCCTTTCTGTCACCATTGGGAACCTAGCCTTTTATGTTATGTGGTTACAAAGCAAATTAGATGGCACAAGTTTTTATCACCATTAAAATGAAATGCAAGGAAAAACGAGGAGCCACTGAAATACCTGCTAAGCTCTACTGCCGGCAGTACTCATTGCATACAACCTCTTTGTTTGAACATTACTGATTTAGATTACAGTACAGAATGTTCATCTTCAGACCAGCCTATAAAATGGCTTCACAGATTGCCAGTACCATATGACCAAACAGTAAAATTAAATTGTAATTATGTGGGCCCAAATTATCATCCTGCCTGCTTGACTTTTTTTCCCTCTGCCTAGTCACTTGATTCCTAATTTATACAATTCATCCATCCTCGTTGAGCCAACCAGATTCTAACATGAATTAGGGAGGTCCAATTGTATTTGCCGTTTAATTTCCAATACCTGTTATAGCCTTCCTGAGAACTGTAACACTGTCCTATTAAAGCTTATCATGTAATTTTAATAAAGATCTTTTTTGGTTAGCACAGGAACAGGAAGATAAGACTCTCGGAGTGTTTAAATCAGTGTTTTACTGACCATGAAAGACATTATCTGTGAATCAATCAGTAATTAGCTCACATATCTCATTCCATGCAAGAGAAGCCAGCTGTACATGATAAATGTGAACAGTATAACTGTTTAACATTAAGCTTTGAACTCAGTCAGCTGAGACACATCTAGTGCTTTTGATGGATAGAATATTTCTTCTGGCTTAGCATTCAGGACCTTTATACCACGTACTCAACGTCACCCAACACAAGGAGCACACCAGTGTAGAATTATGCAAATGTGTTTACCGATTACAAAGCCATTTGCTAACTTCCAGTTTCATCGCAATTGTTCTTAAACTGCACTAGAAGTGATATGAGTAGCAGTGCTACCTCACTTTAGTTGAGTTTGAGAAGTGCAGAAGCAAAGGTTCCTACTTGGTTCAAATCAGAGCAGAGGGAGAAGTTCATGTTTATTACAAACACTTCTTAATTTTCTCTTGTCTCCTTATTGTTTCTTCTACAGTATCCCCACATCCTCTCAGAAGGGGACCAAATGCAGCATGGCTGAGATTCGGGCGAGAGAAGTAATATTTGCAAATGCTGCCTGCCTGTTTCCTGTGAGAGTTACCATAACTGCGCTGCAGCAAGAGAAGTATATCAAAATGTCCTTTATTCCTAAGGCAGGTCCCTGAGTACTGAGGTTACTTTGTCTTTCTTTATACTTTCTAAGAGAGATGCTTATAAAGAAACCTTAAAATCCATAAAATACCCTCTGTGGAGAAATAGAAGAGCAGAAGCCCAAAAAGCAAAATAATATGCTGATAAAACCAAAAACAAAGCACAGTTTCAGTAACCTGTAATGTCTTCTGGTGCAGGTTAATCGTCACATCATAGATTGCCTATGTCAATTCCAAAAAATTTACTTAGCTTTGGAGAAGGTGACGACAGCTCTTCTGTGTATTATGTAACCACCCCTTGCCTTTCAGCTTGCTCCTTATCATATTTCTGGATTCAGCTGTATGCCCTGTCATAGTAGCTACCATTTATTTTACAACCCAGCCTGCAGATTCTGTTCCACTTACACAACCGCTAATAAATGTGGCTTTAATAGGAATCACACTGTCATGAACAAGATCAGAACTGGAAGAAAAGATGAAATATATACAGGAAACTCCACAAAATTTCTGATTTCTGTTTCCACGCTCTTGCCTAAAGGAAAAAAGTTTCCATTTGAGATTCATAATAAAGACTGCTTTTTTGGAAGAGTGAAAGCATTTCAGCTAAAATGTGTATTTCTCAGAACGTATCTGGCTCAAGCTATCCCAGTGATGCAGTTTGATGAGACAGTGCACGACTTTCTGATGCAATTTGAGACTTCAGAAATAATGGCTGCAATATTTTCTAGATGTTGTATTGTTGTGTGTAATGATCAAACAGCTTGGAAAATAATCAGGATAAAGTGTTCAAACAAGTATAGAGCTACAGACTCACTTTTCTTTCACTTCCTAGAATGCCTGTTGCTAGTTATTCCATGTCTTTAGAAATGATATACATATAGCATAATAAACATTATTAGTTCAGCAAAAAGCTTGAGATGTCTTATACAGCCCTGAAAATTTGTTAATCTGAAATCTTATCATTCTTGGGGTTTAACAATTCCTTGCTTTTAGAAGATCAGATAAAGTTGCCACCAACAGGCTGGTCATAGCCCTATGTCTGTAAACCACTTTCTCTACCAAAGCAGGAAATAACGAAAAAATGGATATCTGAGTGCCAAAGTCAGAGTATAGCATATAACAAAGAATAGGGAGTTTCACCACGAGCCAATGCAGAAAAGAACAAAGGAAGGGTTATGCTAGCCATAAGCAGATGGTCTACACTTGCCTCTTTGATCAGATTCATAAATCTGGGTCCAAAACGCCACGGCTTGTGTCTGTGGCACTGCAGGGAGCTGACAGTCATTTGAGAGGCACGCTGGGAGGCCACTGCTACCATGTAAACAGCATCGTACATCAGAGCTGCTTCAGTCTGCATGAAAAAACAGAAAGGCTTTCTTTAATGCACATGTTCGTGCCCTCTCCCTGCTTTCCTTTACTGAGAACCATTCCCAGGCTGTTTTGTGGTGTTTGCACGATTACTTTCCTCCCCAGTGGCAAGGTAGGACCTATTTTCCAGGGAAATCAACCCCACCAAGCACCTACTCACCATTTCTAAGCGTTTACTGCCCTTGAGGACCTTGGCTTTTGGCACAAATGCATGGAGTTGCCCCACCGACCTTTACCTGCAGCAGCTCCCTGCCGAACCTGGCATGCCGTTGTAGTGGGAGGTGACTTGTCCTTTCGAGGTGGCTATTTTAAGATGGACTCACAGATATAATTTCTAGTAGCCTTAGACAGGACAGATAAATACAGTCCTAAGACACCTGATATCACCAAAATTCAGCTGGATGCTAGCTGTGTAGTAATTAAGCCTCTTCTACAGATAGGACAGCAGGCCTGTTATTCAGTTTTTAAATCTGAGTTTTACCATAAAATATTGTACATAAAGTACAATATTGTATTGTACATTGATTCTGAATTCACGTATATCGATAAAGATTTCCAGCAGCTCCACTAAGGGGGGTAGAATGATCCCAGTGCTTGCCATAATAACTTTAAGTCGTCTGGTTCATTGTATCAATGTTAATTCACTTATAATTCTCTCTATTCTACAAATAATATCTGAATCCAACTTGAAATCAATGAAGTTTTTCAGTAGAATTCTTTCTGAATTGCAACTTTGCACTCTTAACTCTCTCTGCTTTACGTACACGCAGGAAGTAATGGCATGGAAAAAGGGCAAAAAACAAGATTATGAACAGTATTTTCCTACTGTTCTCTTGGACAGTAAAACAAGCCCACAGCACTAAGTCCTGCAAAGGTAGCATCAGTACTCTCATTCTTTAGTGTCTGAAAATGTGATCCTGGGCAATATGCTCTAGGTGACCCTGCTTGAGCAGGGAGGTTGGACTAGATGATCTCTAGAGGTCCCTTCCAACCTAAACGATTCTGTGATTCTGTGATTCTGTGTGTCAGTGTTTCTTTTGGGAATGGGCTTGTTTATTTAAAACCTGTGCCCAATAAGCTTCATATTGAGAGGTTGCATACCCTTTATCACCGTGAAGTTTTGGAAAATCTCACCTTTACCTATGTTGTGCTTTAGTGCTCTCACGCATAGATGGGAATGGCCATGTTTCACTTAATGCACAGGAATGCTGTAAAAATGAAGCGCTTACATTTCTTGTAAAGCTACTGAATAATTAAGCAGTATAGTGGCTTCTTAAAAAAAAAAGGTACTAGCACAGCAGATGAGAAACTGGACTCATTTATATGAACTGCAGAACTAATCCATTTTTTATTCCTTTCCCATGCAGTCCCGTTGGGAAATTAATAGATTTGATTCTTTGTCTGTTTCATTTACCTAAGTAAATTACAACAGCATCAGTCTTATCAGCACTGGAGGTTTTTGCTGACAATCAAATGTGATCTGAATTTATCAGCTAATCTTAATATACTGCAGATGAGGAATCGCTCTTGACACACTGGTCAGGTGCTGCACACAACAATGTTCCGACAATCAAAGCAAATTGAAAATGTTATAAGTGGTGAGACAAGCAGAAGAAGACAATAACAGCTGTTCTGAGTGTCAAGTATCTTAAAATAGATTCTTGTTCCAAACAGATGTAGTGACCAATCCAAAATCCCTCAAAGTCAATGGAAAGGTTCCCATTGATGTCAACAGACTACAGATCAGTTTCTCTGTTAGACTGGGGACGTGTCCATTCAGGACTGAATTTTACTTGTTGCACTGGAGTCTCAGTCTACTGGTATCCCAGGCCTAGAGATCCTGGAGATATCTGGTCTAAATGCACAATACAGATCCTATCTGGGACCACCAATGCTGCTAGCTGATAATATGGTGCATCCAACATTTTTTATATGTCAGCAGCATTGCTACACTTGGATGGTCATATCTCAGGTTGGGGTAACTTGGCATTCATCCATCCTACTGGGCAGTAATTGAGAGGTTGTATTACCTCCCTTAGCCTCTCATTTCTCCTCTCACTGTGGGTCTGTTTTAGCATTTGGGGTCACATGGAGAAACAAAAGGTCACCTCATTTTCTGAAGTGAACTACCTATAGGATTATGGCTGTGCTTATGCATAAGAAGAAAAACACCAAAAGTTAGTTCTGGAATTTCTTTCTGATTTTGGTATGATATTTAAATTATTGCAGAGAAATCCAAAGATCTCATTAGTGGCTATACCTCTGTGTGTGATTTGGACATAAAGTGGGATGTGAGCTCAAAACTCTGGTTGTGCAAAACAGGTCATGCCTTGCCAGTCACCCACTGGTTGAGACCAGGGCAAATTATACAACATGGATCAGGAAGGAGGGATCCTGCATTAACGATAGGTGGTGTTATCCTGATTTCCTGATAATGTGCAGCCTGTCCTAGCCTTATAGTCTACTGAAATATAGCAGTATTGCAGTTCTCCATCAACATGAATAAGCAGCCTTATAGTCTACTGAAATATAGCAGTATTGCAGTTCTCCATCAACACGAATAAGCAGAACTTGCTATGAATATTTAAATGATCAGAACTCACTGGGAATATGTCTTCCTTGATGCTCATGCTGTTTCAGAGCATCAAGGGTGCTCAGAGACTATAGATATGCAAAGGAAGTGATAACAGTCTATTAAGAACTTTGTTTTTCTTAAAAACCCCAGGCTTACAGTCAGGTGAGTGCAGGTGAATAGGTACATATGAATAGCTACCCTTGTGTGTCTTGTTTATTTACATCAGAAGTTCCCAGAGACAGTCCCCCCCCACCTCACCCCTGCTTTGTGTATTACTGAGCACACTGGGAGTGCTCAAATAAGCTACTTTTCACAAAATACTAGAGATAACAGACAAAATGTGTTTCTCTTCAGGATGTTAGAATGCTTCAAAGTTTCCCCTGCAATCCTCTGCAATAAAATCTATTTCATACCACCTCTTACACCATTCAGTACATAAGACACATTATCTTGCCTTGCAAAAGAATGGCAACCCTCCACCCCTTCCATTCTGAATGGAGTCACCCAGTCCGTGTAGTTGTTTCCATTCTTTCCTTTGGTTCTTGAGGGAGCCGTGGGGAGGAAATCTTAATTTTCTGGCTTGAAGATACCTTTCATTTATCTTTAAATTATATCTTAAAAGCCAGATGTGTTATAGATGATGGAAACGAAGAGAAAAGGCACTTTTCCGATTTAAAAATGCTATTACTTGTCTGCATGTACAATATCTTTCCCTGCAGGTTATAAATCCTATACCTGCTCTGGAAGTTTTTATTTCCTGTTATATTCTTCACTCCATCTAGAACATTATTAGAGAAATGAGGCAGCAGTATATGCATTTGACAACAAAAAAATGAATAGTGTTAGCTGGACAGCAGCTTGACAGAGAAGTTTATTACTCATCTCTTCAGCTGCATGTGGTTGGTCACATAGATAAGTGTGACACTGGTTAACAGCAAATGTACTTGTATGTAGAAGCAGGTGAGAGGAAATCTGTCTTTGTGGGTGCTGCTTCAGCATTTGTGTAATGAAGTAAAACACTAGTGGGATCAGTTCACGGGTTGCTGGTATGGCATTGCAAAGCGCACTGTAGGCACCAGTTATCGATGCATCACTGTAATTATTCACTTACTGTCATCATGCCATCAAGGAGGCCAGTCTCTGGTTTCGGCGGTGCCTGCAAACGCTCCATTGACCATTTCTCAATGACTGATGAAACCTGAGGGTTCTCAATGTTGAGCAGGCGAAACCCTGTCATATTTACTCCGCTGTATCTGTAGGGTTCCAGATCTAATGCAAATAGATCCTAAATCATCATTAAGAAAGTAAAAAAAAAAAAACAGATGTAGCATTTTTAAAGCGAAACTTTGGGAAGCTACAATTAGGCGAAAATTTGCATTTGGTTTTTCAAACCAAAGTTTAAGTGTGTTTTTTTTTTCCTCATGAACCCTCTACTTTCCCACAAAGACTAGTCATGACTGCTTTGGTTATAAATTGGAACAAACCAAAGCTATGGGAAATTTATGATAAACCAAATATCTGCTTTGTTGGAATATAAAAATCAGTTCCCCATAACAACACTATTTTGCAACCAAGCTGCATAACATGATCTGATTTTAATTTATATCAGTCCTCTAATAATGCTACAGCTCTGACAATCCAATGTGAAGGATTAGTTAGGCGATGTTAAGCTTAATTCTCAATTCTGGGACAGGAAATTCCGAGAGACACCGAGAGCGATGCATTTTTACTACTTATGAACCTGACTTTTCTCCTGCCTTGACTACTTCAGGTAACTTGCTGCCAGGATACCTAATGGACATGTCAGGCCAGCGCACAGCAAATCCACGTGCTTTAGTTGCTTGACGTTTACAGGGCAGGAAAATAGTGGATGTTCTCAATGATATAATTGCATGACATTCCACAGCTGTATTTGTCAAGCAGTGGAAATATGGTAACGGCTTTTTGAACTCTAAAGGCTTCTTTTCAAAGCAATTTTCTGCCAATCCCAGCAGGCCAGTAAAATGAAAAATGTATGAGTCATGGTGTAATACCATGATTACTATCAAAAGGCTACCAAGATGATTAGAGGGCTGGAGCATCTCTCCTATGAAGAAAGACTGCAAGAGCTGGGCCTGTTCAGCCTGGAGAAGAGAAGACTGAGAGGGGATCTCATCAACGTGTACAAGTATCTGAAGGGGGAGTGTCAAGAGGATGAGGCCAGCCTCTTCTCCGTGGTGCCCAGCAACAGGACAAGAGGCAACGGGCAGAAACTGAACCACAGGAAGTTCCATCTGAACCTGAGAAAAAACTTCTTCACTGTGAGGGTGACAGAGCATTGGAACAGGTTGCCCAGAGAGGTGGTGGAGTCTCCTTCGCTGGAGATATTCAAAAGCCGTCTGGATGTGATCCTAGGCAATATGCTCTAGGTGACCCTGTCTGAACAGGGAGGTTGGACTAGATGATCTCCAGAGGTCCCTTCCAACCTAAACGATTCTGTGATTCTGTGATTCTGTGAAAATGTCAACATCTACAATAATACAACGCCTAGATACCACTAACACTGGTTGTTGTAATATACACTCCGTACTACCTCATGCATATGGTTGTTGGTGGTTACCATTTTGTGTTTGATTTGCTGCTATTGTATAAAAGTGTAATGGTTCTTTTTTTTGTCTTTCTGGTACAGAACGCAAATAGATCTCAAGAACAGATTGAGCTATAGTTATACATTATGTATATATTTAATTATAGAAATAGTGTGTGTGAAACACATACATTTGTGCCATAAAAGAAAATTTAGGGCTTATCTGTCTTTTACTATATGCCTTAAAACTTCCCAGGTGATGCTACACACATGTGGTTTTGGTTTTATGAGTAAATAAAACACTTTAGCTATGAACATTATTTGTCAGACACCTGCTCTTACAAAGCACACATCTTAGATACAGCAGCCTCTGACTTACTGTCAAAGCACCCTGACTGTTTTTGTGTAGCACTCAACAAAACCACCCTACAGGGACTGGGTCAATGCAAAGGAGCACGATGGCCTTCAACTTACCAAAAATTAGATGATAGTTTTGGAGTTAGGTAGGGAATGACCTGAGTGTGAGCTTGCATGCTTTGCTGAACTGGGGCCTCACCGCACCATCTGCAGAACTGCATGGGGCCCCTGGCCCAGAGCATCTGAACTCAAAATGAATCATTGATTATTTTGTTTTATTCTGATCCACCTGTACTGATAGCTTCTGCCTAAGTGCCATACGACAAGTAATTTGCATTGTATTAAGTGGTTAGCCATCCTCATAAAGAGTGCAAGACAACCTCCTTACAAAATAGGGACTGCTGATACGCTAACGCTTACTCATTCTCCAGGGATTTTCCTGAATAATGGCAACCCAATTCTCAGAGAAAAGTGAAAGTTTTTCGTTGTCTTTTCTGTAGCAGAGAAAATTCATTCCCGAACTTTGGTCTTTCTTACCAGTGTTGTGAAAAAGTAGTGGTAGTATTCTGTCATCATTCCCATGGAGAGAATCTGTCGAAAGAGATGATTAAAATGTGAATGCACTTTACACCGGATACTTTCAGTTTACTGCACACTCTTTTGAAAAGCATGGACTAATTTGGAACAACGTTGCAGGTTATAAAAACTTTACTACAAAAAAAATCTACATTTTTCTTCAGGAGTGAAAAAATCATATTTCAGGAAAGTGATTTTCCTGTCCTCAGGAAAGAGATTAAAGGTTGCAAAACTTCTAGAACAAGAAAAATTACTAGAGATAATGAAGAGCTGATTTTTAAGAAGGAAAATTGTTTAGTCTGCAGTTGAGGAGTGTTAAAAAGGAATTTACTAGCAGACAATGGAATTTATCGCAGAAAGTGCTTAGACTTTTTTTTATTCTGCATTATCATGTGAGAACAAGACACTTGGAGAGTGCTCACTGAAGTAAACACCAAAAATAACAAGAAGAAAGCTTCTTTAAATGCCTCTTCTTCCACCTGGGGAATTCAGTTCTGCAGAAGGCTGTCAAAACACGCAGTAAAAAAGGATTTTTGTTCTCGAATCTTTTTCCACAGATCACACCTTTTGAAGCTATGCGAATTAAGACAGTGTTTCTAGGGTAAGGATGACATTTAAGCACCTATTGACTTGGCCGCCTTTGGCAGAAAGGGGAAAAGTTCTCTTCCCAGCCCTCGGGTTCGGTGGGTGCTTTATGGGACCTTCTAGAGAAAGTAATGTTTTTCCTTCAGTCCATATCTGAAAATTGGTGACATATCATTTGGAAACGCCTGTGTAAAACTCCCCTGACCGTGTGTAATGGGGTCTTCTTTAGTCTCAGGTCAGTATCACCTCCCCTCCTTGTCACCATGTTCGCATGCACCATTGCTGTGATTTAAATATTTTGCCCTTCCTGGGACAGCGTGATGAGGATGAGGAATTGTGAGCTAGGTATCTAGTGACAAATTTTTTATCAGCGCGGTAACACGGACAAAGATAAAATGTTATTCAATCTTGATCACAGTCAAGCAAGCATGTGTTACGAATAGTATTTTAGAACACCTGTATCAACATCTGAATAGCTCTTTGAAAGGTAGGGGGCAACAACATTTAACGTGCCAGATTTCTTCTATGTGGCAAATGCCTCTGCAAATCAGTTGTTTGATGGCGTAGGGCAATTCCTCACATAAAAAAGGAAGTAACCTAAACTTTCTCAGCTGCAGTAGACAATAAAAACAGCTCGGTTTTAATCACAAGCAACGAATCCATTTCCAACTGCAAAAAATCAAGCCAGAAGGCAAGCACTTTATTGAAACACTTCATTGAATTTACATGTAAAAATTGCCTCTTTTATTTCTTATTTTATTAGTCCTCTTCTATTGCATTTCTTAAGAGTTATTTCATTACCTGTAAAAATGAGTGATCTAGCAATTCTAGGGACTGATGTTCTTTATTTATGCTCAGAAAATGATATATAGTAGCATGAATGAAACTTTTGCCAGTTGTATTTCCCAGATGACTCAGTTCTGCTTCCTGAAGCGGCTGGGTCACTGCTACAGGAAGGAGGTGCCAGTCGGGATTTTTATGACACAGATTTTTTTTTTTCTTTAGATACTGAAATAACCCAATCACTTCTTTTGGGGCCCAGGTCAGCCACTAGGTGATAATGATACAAATGTCATCTGAAGCCCAGTAAAGACATATGCTGAAATTAATTTGGTCCTCTACAGGAAGTACACAGTTAAGTCATTGTTTTACTTTAATATGAAAGCAAGAGCATATTAATAAATGTAAAATATCCAAAGGTGAATTATTGGTTCATTACAGTTTTAGTTCTAGCTTGAGATAGAAAACCTAATGTCAACTTTATGATGATTATACTATTGCACTTATATCAGAAGGTATAAAATGCAATCTGCCTGCCTGCAAATTGTAAGACAATGAAGAACTAGGACAATGCTAAGCTACACAATGCCTTAAAATACAACATCTGCTCTAAAACATGAAAGTGGCATATATTTGTTAGCTTTCCCCCTTATGCGTGTCACAGCACTATTTCTAGAGTTGAATGACAAAAATCAGTCTGTGCAGTTTTTTCTTCCTCTTAACTTCCTAGAATAAAAAGAAGGAAGAAAAAAAGAGAATTTCAGTAAAGGGCGAAGATAACCTATTAGAACTGCTGACCAGCTGTGCTAATATACTGATGCTGGATTCCTGCTCTTGTAGTAGGGTAAATGGAGGATCGCATGCAGAACAGAATAGATCCCAAACAGTGCAAACACCTGGTGTCCAGTGACTGAACCACCCTTTCGGAAGGTGGGAGAAATGCTTACCAACATTCTCAGGTGGATGAAGAAACTGGTGTGAGCTCTGGCCTCTGAATAAGAGCGAGCTGACAACTCTTTCGTAAATCTAGTCCTAACACTAGTATTTATGCTGGCTACTATTATTGTTCAAATTTAGCCTAATGATTGAATAGTTTTAGGACGACCGGAACCATTTTTTTGGCAAATATACCGTAAGCTGAAAAATGTATCCCCTCTTTAATTAGAACAGGCATCACTTTACTAATAAACCAAATGTGTTTGCTGCTATCGTCATTGAAAATCCACCTGCATTGCAATAAGAGCTGAGACTATACCATGTGTAAAGATACATTAATTTGAATGATTACGAAGTGTGTTACATGGGCATTTGGGAAGCATTATATAGCCTGTACTGCTGCAGCTACACTGCTACTGGGTATCTGACTAGTTAATCCAAGCTAGTCCAGTTATTGCTTTCCTCATAAATCCATGGGCAGTAGCCTGAATGGACTGTCTGACTCCTGAACCCATTTTTGATTAAAACTTTTTATGAGAATATTGATTCCCAAAAAATGCACTATAAACAGATTTGGCAGGACACACACATGCCTGTGACTAATAATGATTTCAAATGTCACGCTACAGGCTTGTATCTGAAAACAAAACAGAACCATAAGCCCTGAAACCCCAGGGCAACTGGGTGTAAAAAGTGAGGTTCAGCAAGCAGTGTTATCTGCCATGATCAAGACCCAGGATTCACTATGGCTATGGGTGGGAGGACTGCTATGGGATTGCCATGGACCTTGCACGCCAGGGCTGCACGACAGAGACTTGCTGGAACTCTTCCAAAGAAAGTATTGCAGCAACCCACGATTGTTTAATCAAAATGTCACTTTTTGTATTTTCAGTATTAATGACGACTCAATTAAGATGTGAAGCTACCGATAGCTGGGAGGGAGCTCTTAAGTAGCAAGCACACAGTAATAATCTCCTCCTCTGACTGAGGAATAAGGGTTGATGCTAGCTCTGTCCCAGGCTGGGCCCTTATCTTACGCTGAGATCCACCCTCTCACTCAGCGTTGGTCACAGCAAAGGCCTTAACTAGCTATCCTCTCCTCTAACGGTTACTAAGGATGATAATTAGTTAACAGTTATACAGCACTTAGACATCACTGTGGCTTGTGAATTAGATCTGTAGATTGACCTAAATAAGGTGCTTTTTATTCATGGCTCTGAAAGATTGTGTTAAAGTAACTTTCGTTTCTGTTTTATGGTAACGTGGTTCCTAAGCAAGTGAAAATGAGCATACCAGTCCAGAAGAAAGAAGGGAAGGCAATAGGATTCATGTATCTGCCCGTAAGAAACTACAGTGAGATTTCATTTCACGTTCCTATTTAAATAACTTTGCATATAACTATTTAAATAATTATGCATGTGATATAAATATCCTATTTCAATAATAACAGCTTTTACTTATTCTGGATCTTAGATGAATATAAACTAGTGGAACCAGAATTAAATATTCTGCACGCTCCTTGATGATCCCCTACCCATCCAGGCCTGTATAAAATCTGTTCTTCAGCTAAACCCAGATATGAGATACTGTGGGTTGATTATGTGTTATCATGGGAATAAAATGAAAAGACTTCCATCTCTAATCATCTATTTCAGTCAAGCTCAAGTCAGATGTTTAGGCCTAGTCTTTAGCAGACCTACACTGTAATTACGGATCATGAACGTCAGTGCGAGTATGAGTGAGTTTCAACGGACAAAATATACATGGCAAATGGACAGAGGGTGGATCAATGACACAATCTTTTATGTCTGTACATCTCTGTGGGGCCTCAGTCCTGGCTTGCTTCTACCCAGCATTTGTTCACCTTATAAAAATTATCTCCACATTTAGAGCTAATGTCAGTCTTCCCTCAAAGCAGGCTGAAAGTAATGATGGTGAAACATATTAGTAGGAACTGCATCAAATCCTTTACTTGCTTTCACTTTGCATTTTCCTCACTCATGCTATTATTTAACTTTATCAGTATTAAAGGAATGCATCTCATTATCCAATTAATTAGTACCACCACTGTTTCCTAAGATCAGCAAGATAAGCTATAATTAATAAAAACCCCTCCACCTCCCTCTGAAGTGTGCAATATAAACGAAGAGGATTATATTGTGCTGCCAGTGCTTCCCTGGACTTCATTCAGACAGCTTTGCCTGGGCGTAACTTAGCTCACTGGAAGCCTTCAGTGTGGCCTGCGCCCCACTCAGTCACAACAGTGATCTAGCTGGTAGAGAGTTCCTCCAACAGGCACATGTGCTATGACAAAAAGCAGGATATATTCTGTAAATGCTAAGCTAGCATCAGACTCCAGCTAGAAACCAGGGCCATAGCAATAGGACAGGACACACTCATCTGCCCAGAGCTGCTGGACAGCTCTCAGTCTGCTGTATCTGGTTCCTTCTGCTTCCTGAAGAGATCCCACGGAGCTGGGGCAGCAGCGTTGCCCTTCAAATTCCAGCATGGACATAGCCTCACAGTATGAAGACTGAAAGCACTTGAAAGTCTGCTTGCATTTACACCACCAAGTGATTCTTCAAAGGAAGCAAAGAACAGCTATATGTGCAAGAAGTAGCATGGTACTGCACTGTGAGCCTGTGCACTTACTCTAGCTTTCGACTAGACAGCACAGCTAACAAGAACAGAGAAGCGGAGGATGGATGCATGGA